TAGGTAAAATAATGAACTTGTGGTTCTTGCACTGACTGTTTCAAATTATATTTGCATCAACAGAGACGTAATGTGTAATGTAATCTCATTTCGGAAAATGAGACAGTCTACAAAAAAACAAAGTTGTTACTTTATATAGATTTATTAATAACAATTTCATAATATCGTGAAATACAACCATCCACTGTAGTAGTACATCCACATGAATTTAGATATCAAATAATTATCTTTATTCTGGGCAATATCTTCGTATCTGATGGCAAACACATTCTGATTGGGATCTTCTTCATAATTTTGTTCGAAAATGGCCTCTTTTAACGAATCTCCATGATGCCTGGACCAAATGTGTGTCAAAATTTTTTTAAACAATTTTTTCATGTTTTTTGGGGCATTTTGAACAAAAAGGTTCTGTAGAACTCGAAATATAAGCGATACTATATAAGTGTGAAATATGTCATTTTTGACTTCAAAAAACAGTATAAGCAACGAAAATTATAATGTTGTCAATGTTTTTAAATATACTTCAATCAAACACTAATAGAACTCCAAAGTATCTCAGGATGTCTTCTTATTGTAAACCTTTTATTTTATGGAGAACCGTTAAGCTCGTACTTGATTAATAATTGAAAAACAATGATTTATAATTAGATCTCCTGAAATGATTTGGGATTTTGTTAATGCATTCCTGAAGAATATTTGGGGACATTAAAACTTTCATTCTTTCATATTTTCGAGTCGAAAATGACATACCTTTTTCGCACCTTTCCAAATATTGTATCACTTACAGGTCATATCCATTTTAAAAAAATATTTTTTTTAATCTGTTTTAAAAAAATTGTTCAACAAATGTGACGTAAATTTGGTGCTAGCAACATTCATGAAAAGGGTCAATTTTTGAATAAGATCATGTAAAAAGGTCCGGATCAAAATATTTTCTCATCAGATGTGAATATATTACTCATAAAAGTACGATATTTATTCGATTTCCGAACTTGTATCATCTCATTTTGCTTTTATAAACATCCATCCAGTCTATCATACACAGGCTCAAGGGCCCTTTAGCACAGAATACGTTTACATCATAATTTCTATTATCTTACTGTATAAATCATAACAAATATTTATCTTATATAACAATTTGAATAAATAAAATAAAGTCTTATTCTCTACAAGCTGCACCAAAAGACTGGAGGTTGAATACAACTACAATTGCAGAAAATATGTTAATTTAGGCAAAGAAATAGGTAAATTTTTCCTACAAATGTGGCGACAGTAAATTTTTTTGGTGGTTGGTACCTTTAAATTCTTCAAATGTCACGATAGGCGTGGATAATTTTTGAAAAAATTGTTTTATCAAAGATCTACATTCTATGCAAAAAAGTAATAGAACAACTTTGTAGTATTGTATTTCTGAGAGAATTGAATTCCCCACAAAATTGTTTTTACTACTTTTTTACATAGGACCGATGGTTTTTGAGATTTTCGATACAACGTGTTTATCAAAATGTCGGCTCAAGTTGTAGGATTTTCTATTACCCTATTTGTTGGTCTATTAAACATAATACGAAAGGCGTTAAGTAAATGCAGTTTTAACGCTATCAAAAGTTTTTTTGGTTTACACAAAATCACAGTTTAAGTAAAAACTAAATTAGTCACAAAATTATACGTTTGTTGCTTCATGATTAAGTAATCTTCAAAAACGTTATTTTATTTGGGAAGAGGCGTATTTTATCGAATTTTCAATACTGCGAGAAAAATTAAACTAAAGAAAAAACTGTTGAAACATTTTTTGTGGTGCATGAAAAATGGATTCATCATTTAAGCAGTGTTTTGGGATACTTAGTAGACCTAGTTTTAAACGTAAAATGTAAAATAAACACTATAATAGAAAATGATGAAATAATGTGTGACAAATCATACTGTCGGCGCCATCTGTTGGTCGAGTCTCCTACTCGCTAGAGTTTCATGGCCGATCTTTACTTTTACGCGAATCACGACCGCACCAGCCACCTGGCGGCGGCTATGAGGACCGTCAGAGTGGATCGCCTTCTAGATCGAAGCGAAGTGATCTCCAATCTCCAACATTCATTGCTTCGTGGTTTTTCTCGAAGCGGTAATTGAACTATATATAACTCGGCGGTCGGGAGAGTACGGAATATACGGAGTAGCAGAGCGAAAAGAAGTATAGTGCAGTCAATGGTGACATAAGAATTAGTCAGACATAAATAGTGGTGCATATAAATGTTTTATCCAGTCAAATAAATTGGTGCATTTCCTTTTGCGGAATCCAGTGTATTAATCTACACACAAAAAGAACCCAGAAAAAAGCTACAAATGTTTATTTTTGATGTCTACAGGGTGAGTTTTTAGTGTGGGACCGATCGATAACTTATATATTTTTTCCAGAGTATTTTCGGTTCAGATAAACGTTTAAGCGTGGCACATTTATGTCAAAAAAATGCATAGATTGTCGTATCTCTGTACCCTTTTGGTCGGACACCTATACACTTCCTACACAAATAAAAAATTGACCGGGAAGTAGCATTTTAGATTTTTTGTTCTAGCAATTTTAGTCAAAATAAATTGCATCTATTATAGAGACAATTTATATGCTAGATGGCATTGTGTGAGAAAACTAAAGGGGTGACGGATAAAAAAATTAAATAAAAATTAAATTTCATCCTCAACGAATTGTACCTCAAATTGTACCTCTATTATAGAGACAATTTGTAAGCTAGTTCATATGGTGTGAGAAAGATTCTGAAGGGGTGGCAGATAAAAAATATAAATGAAAATTCATTTCCACCCCCCAATGAAATGATTCCCTAAAACAAATTGTACATCCAAAAAATACTCTATTATAGAGACAATTTGTAGGCTAGATGGGAGTGTGTGAGAAAACTTCTAAAGGGGTGGCGTATAAAAAAATAAAAATAAAGATTCATTTTCACCACCAAGGAAATGATTCCCCAAAATGAATTGTATCTAAAAAAATACTTTATTATAGAGACAATTACTAAGCCACGTGATATGTTGAGAAAAAGGGGTGGCAGATGAAAAAATATAAATGAAAATTCATTTTCACCCCCAAGGAAATGATTCCCTAAAACAAATAGTACATCCATAAATACTCTGTTATAGAGACAATTTATAGGCTAGATGGGAGTGTGTGAGAAAACTTCTAAAGGGGTGGCGTATCAAAAAAATAAAAATAAAGATTCATTTTCACCACCAAGGAAACGATTCCCCAAAATGAATTGTATCTAAAAAAATACTTTATTATAGAGACAATTAATAAGCCACGTGATATGTTGAGAAAAAGGGGTGGCAGATGAAAAAATATAAATGAAAATTCATTTTCACCCCCAAGGAAATGATTCCCTAAAACAAATAGTACATCCATAAATACTCTGTTATAGAGACAATTTATATTCTAGATGGGAGTGTGTGAGAAAACTTCTAAAGGGGTGGCGTATCAAAAAAATAAAATAAAGATTCATTTTCACCACCAAGGAAATGATTCCCCAAAATGAATTGTATCTAAAAAAATACTTTATTATAGAGACAATTAATAAGCCACGTGATATGTTGAGAAAAAGGGGTGACAGATGAAAAAATATAAATGAAAATTCATTTTCACCCCCAAGGAAATGATTCCCCAAGACGAATTGTAGCTTTAATTATAGAGACAATTTATGGGCTAGGTGACTTAATATGAGAAAGCTTCTGGATGGATGGCGCATACAAAAATATATAAAAAAAATGTTCACCCCAGGGAAATGACATTCCAAAACAAGCTGCACCTCAAAGAAGTACCCTATTATAGAGATCATTTATTTATCGGGTGAAACAAATTAGAAGAACTGCGAATTTCAAGATCATCCGTACCACAATCACTGTAGGATTAAGATTTATTTAGAATTCAGATAATTTCGAATATGAGGCTTTTATACGAGGGCGGTTCCATAAGTAACCGTGTTTGACGACAGAGCGCGTTCCCGAGGGAAGTTAATGTTATCATCGTGTGCTGCCATCTATCAAACGTCGGCACAACAAATTTTAGACTGATTGATAGGTTAGTTTGGATTTGGCAGCCATTCGAATAGCACGTGTTTCGTGATTTTCGCTAAAATGGAAAAAGGGCAGTATCGTTCGGTAATTCGCTTTTTGCTTTTGGATGGGAAAAAACGCGAGGAGATAAAAGCAAAGGTGGATGCTGCTTATGGGGGCACTTCGCCATCTATGACTAAGATATTGGTTCAACGAATTTAAACGTGGGTGAACATCCGTTTTATGATGAGGATCGACCTCGACGCCCGGCAGACGTGGTTACCGACAAAATCATTCAAAAAGCCCACGATATGATTTTCGCTGATCGACGAACGAAAGCTGTATCTTAAAAGGTTTTACACTCAAATACTGTCGCAAAATTTTCCACGTAGTGGAGTAACAGAGGCCCAATTGCTGCGAACGGCGGCGAATCGACATTTCACGGTCATCACTAACACTGGCGGATACAGCCGCAATATTGCCCATAAATTAGAAGCAGTGCTCGATGCACTCTCTTAACCGAGCATGAATTTTGATAGTAAAATTCAATAATTTGCAAGCGTTGTTCGTTCGTAAGTCGATTCATGGTTAAATTATAGACCAAACTGAACAAGTTTGACAATGACACAAGACACGATTCACGCGTCATCTGTCAAAAACAGTGTTGCCTAAAAGATACTAGCAAAAAATCAACAGTCATTGAAGTGATGGCAAGTGAGGTTGCCCGCAGGATTTTTAAAACCGCATTAAAGTGTTTATACCGGAAAAGTCAAATGAAAATTTCAATCAAATCCTGCTCAACTGGAAGATTGGCACCACATAAGAGAATTTTGATCGTAAAAGATCATCCTGCACAAATCCCCGTGAATATATGTTTCAACATTTTTAAAAATGTTTCTGCTAGTATAAAAAATCGATAAAATCCATTTTGACTAGAAACAAATAAAAGTTCACGGCGCCGTACATTTTTCCATACAATACATGTCTCCTAACAACTGCGTAAGCGGTATATCTCCAACGGTTTCCCTAAAAAACAGAAGCTCAACGGTGATTGGCCGGATGGCTCTCAGACTGGGCACCAACAGTAGCAATCGGCCGAATCTAGTAGGCTGTCTAGGGTATCTCGCTCTCACGTAGTCGCCCAGGATGCATTGAGCTTGATCCTGCAGCATTTCTACCGGTTGGACGTCGCACAGCCCGGGAGTTTCTACAGAAAATAAACATCCAGCTTAGCAACTAGATAAGGTATACAAAGTGTTTTCACAGTTTTAACAGCTTGTAGTTAAAAATTATTTAAAAAAAAATCACTAACAAGTTAAATGGATACCGTTCTTACAAAAAAAAAATTCTGGTGTCCTTGAATTAAGTCACAAATACTTTCAGTGCACTGTGGAAGTTCTTCCAGAATATTTACTGCTACATCATGATTCATCAACTATTTCAAATAGCCTCACAGAAAAAAATCGCAAGGTGTTAAATCCGGGGAGAGAGCAGGTCAAAGTTCGGAAACTCATTATTTAGATGTTCATGAACTTCTGGTCCAAAATGTGGTGGAGTCATGTAGGAACCGCATATTTTGTCTCATATTCAGAGGGACATCTTGTAATATACTAAGTGACATATAAATCCGAACACCTAGTTTAAATGGTTTTATTTTATTAAAAGTTGGTGAATGTATTTATCTTACTGTAAATAACAAGTGAAAAAATTTTCAGCCTTATCAGTTGGACATTCCGGTTTTTATACTGCTTTTTTTTTAATTCACTAATGCTCTAAAAATGAATATTTCAGCCGCAGTAAAGAATCAACGTTGGCGGATTTTGGTTCTTGACATCCTTTACGATCGGTTACGATGCCTAGAGTACGGAGACCTGTACGATTTCGTCAACTTAGTGAGTTTGATAGGGGCCGTATAGTGGGACTTCGGGAAGCTGGACTTTCTTTTCGGGCAATTGCAGTTAGAGTGCAAAGAGTGTAGACACTGTGGTTAGGTGTTGTCAGGCATGGCTTCGAGAAGGCCGTTCGCAGGGAGCAAGGGGCTCTGGACGCCGCCGTAGAACAACAGACCGTGAAGATCGCCGCCTAAGATTATTGGCCTTAAGGGACCGTTTCTCCACTACCAGGTCCATTGCAAATGAATGGTTTGCAGAACACGGAAGACCTATTGGCATGCGAAGTGTTTACCGACGAATGAGAAGTTCTGGCTTGTTTTCATACCGGCCAGACTGGGTCCTCCCTTTAACTCGAGAACACCGACGTAATCGCCTTGAGTGGTGCAGACAACGGTCACTCTGGGACCAGGAATGGAACAGTATTGTCTTTAGTGACGAGTCTCGATTTTGTTTAGGCATGCACGATGGTCGTGCCAGGGTTAGAAGGCGACGTGGTGAAAGGAGGAATCCACAGTTTTTTGCTGAAAGACATGTTCATCACACTGTTGGAGTTATGGTTTGGGGTGCTATAGCTTATGGTTGCAGGTCACCTTTAATCTTCATCAGAGGTAACATGAACGCGCAGCGTTATATCCACGAAGTTCTAGAACCCCATCTTTTACCCTATCTTGACACCCTGGCAGATCCAACTTTCCAACAAGATAATGCCCGACCACATGTTGCAAGAGTCACAATAGACTTCTTTCAACATAATGATGTCACATTGTTACCATGGCCACCAAGATCTCCCGACTTATCCCCAATTGAGCACGTGTGGGATATGATGGGTAGGAGATTGCACTTCGAGAGGAGTTAGTGGTTGCCTGGAATGAGATATCACAGGAGGACATTGACCACCTGAACAGAAGCATGCCTAGGTGCGTTGGAGAATGCGTAGCACATCAGGGTGCATCCACACATTATTAAAAGTCAAAGGGCTTTAAAGCAGTGCAATCATTTTGAAATTTTTATCATTTACTTATTATGCTTCATCAAGTACTTATACAAAATTTAATTGAAATAAAACCATTTAAACTGGGTGTTCGGATTTATATGTCACTTAGTATATATTTCCTGCAAATTCGAAATTAGATCTTTCTAAATGTTCATCAATTGTAACGCCACGTTCATCCAAATGAGACCCAAAATGGTCATGAGGCAATATTAAACCAGCCAGTTCCCGACTAAGAGGAGCCATTCTGCGCTATACTCTGTTATACGCACTTCTAGGTACAAATAAGTAAAAAGTTGAACCAAAATAATATCATAATGTACAAATATGCGTGCGTAAAAGAACTGTCTGATTATGCCCCTACTGAGCGACGGCCGTGGCAAATGCTTGTTCTGGAAGTTGTTGTATCCAGTATACAACTTCTTCCCGTCCAAGTGATTGTCCACGCGTTAAGGAATACCTCAGTACCGATTGCCGGGTGACGGTACAAGTCCGCCAACGGGCCACTTTAGGTCTATTTAACATCACTAACACGTAAAAAGAAGGTGGTAGACAAGGACCAGTCGACCGAGGGAGTACCACCCGCTAGCTTTTCCCAGGGTGTCTTATAAATGTCCGCATGTTTCCACACCTAAGCTATGCAGTCGGTTATCTACCAAAACATAGAAATTAATGATGATGGATCCCTCGAGCACTAAAAACTCCGGACGTAAACTCACTCCACTCTCGGAATGTCCGGGTGGAGGGTGGGCTCGAGGGAACAACATCGAGGATAAAATTTGTTTTTCGAACATCTGCGGGATCAACAGCAACATTGATGCTGTTCATCACTACCTGCAATCCAATCGTCCCGCCGTGCTTTTCTTGGCGGAGACAAAAATCTCAGAGACTGCACCGATTAACCATCTCAACTTCCCAAACTACGAGGTGCACTCCAATCTGAGAAAGAACGGGGGAGTTGTGGCTTTTGTCCGCAGCAGTCTTTCCTGCTCCAGGGATCTTTCTTTGGAATCAGACCGGAAGGACATTCTGTGGCTTCGCCTCAACTCCAAAACATCACCCAAATTTATTTGCTGCCTTTATCGCTCTCCCTCGAACCATAACTGGGATGACCTACTCGAATACCTCGCCGTCCAGATCGACTTCCTGAACATCAATCACCCCGCGTCAGAGGTAGTTCTTCTCGGTGATTTCAATGCCCATAATGAGCTTTGGTTGGGCTCAAATAAGACCGATGCAGCAGGTCGTGCAGTCGAAGCGTTCGCTCTTACTCAACGGCTGACCCAGCTGGTGACGAGCCCTACTTTTTTCCCCCGCGTCTCGTCACACGCCAGTAGCCTGCTGGATCTCTTTCTGACCACGCATCCTGCCCCTTACAGCACTGCTGTCCTCTCCCCCCTGGGTAATTCAGATCACGGTCTTGTGGAGGTTAGGTTTCGGTCAGAAGCCGCTGTGGCAGCAGAAACTCGCACAGGCCGCAAAACTTGGCATTACGGACATGCCGACTGGGAGGGGCTCAGAGACTTCTTCTCCAGCTTTCCTTGGAGAGATGTCTGTTTCACTGACGCAGATGCGTCGACTGTCTGTTCTTCAATAACCGAAATTATCCACGTCGGAATGGAGGAATACATCCCTCACACAGTGAAAGTTCCTAAACCAGGGTCCAACGGCTGGTTCAACAAATCGTGTGACACTGCTCGCCAGCAGAAGATCAAGGCCTACAGAACCTACTTACAAAACCCCACTGTAGAGAACAGACAAGCCGACGTAGAGTCCAGAAACAAATATAACGAAGCGGTTCGCAATGCCAAAAACCAGCATGATATAAAAGTTAGGCACAGGGTAATGTCGCAGCGCAATGGCAGTCGGTCTTTCTGGACGCTGGCCAAGCAGATTGAAAAGAACTTCTCACACAGTAGCCTTCCACCACTTACGTGTCAGGATGGAACTATTGTATTCGACTCAAAGGCCAAGGCGGAAGTGCTAGCCAAGATCTTTGCTGCCAACTCCACCATGGACGTCCCCACCAACGCCCAAGTGCCGTCAATTCAAAGGGTTCCCCACACTATGCGGGAGGTAACATTCAGGCATAAGACCGTAAGACGAGTGCTCTTGTCGCTCGACATCAACAAAGCTTCTGGTCCGGACTTGATTCCTGCCATTGTACTGAAGAGATGTGCAGCTGAGCTTGCTCCAGTTCTTTCGCGTCTCTTCCAGATATCTTATGAATCCGGCACCTTCCCAGAAAACTGGAAATTTGCTCGTGTACAGCCCATCCCAAAAAAAGGATCTAAAACCGACCCTTACAACTACAGGCCTATAGCTCTGTTCTCTGTTATAAGTAAAGTGATGGAGAGGTGCATAAATCGCGAGCTTCTGGACTACCTCGAACGTCACAGCTTGATTAGCGACAGGCAGTACGGTTTCCGGCACCAACGATCCACAGGGGACCTCCTAGCTTACGTCACGCAACTGTGGAGTAAACTCATCCAGTCTCATGGTGAGGCTCATGTCGTTGCTCTTGACATCACGAAAGCGTTCGATCAGCTGTGGCACGCTGCCCTCTTAAGCAAACTTCCATCCTACGGCCTCCCAGAAAAGCTTTGCAGATGGGTGGCTGACTTTATCTCTGGCCGCAAGATATCCGTCGTAATTGACGGATTCTCCTCTTCATCCCACAACGTCCACGCGGGTGTTCCCCAGGGATCGGTCTTGGCTCCAACACTGTTTCTCTTTCATATCAACGACCTCCTCTCCTGCACGATCAACCCAATCCACAGCTTCGCTGATGACAGCCCTCTACATGCAGGAATTCAGAGTGACAAGGCGATCTCTGCCGCTGAGCTGGAAAAAAGAAGACTAGCGACGACTTCTTCTCTGACAAGAGACCTGGAGGCTATCACTGCTTGGGGACGCAACAATCTTGTACAGTTCAATGCTTCCAAAACACAGTACTGTACTTTGACGAACAAAAAGCGTCCTAGCGCTCATACAGTTTCGATGGACGGTCGAGTTCTACCAAAGAGCCATTCATTTCGGCTGGTCGGAGTCCAGATCACCGAGGACCTGATCTGGCACGAACACATCTCTTCAATAGCTGCAGCTGCTGGGAAAAAGCTAGGCTATTTGTTTAGGGCTAAGAAGTACTTTTCTCCGCATGACCTTCTCACTCTATACAAGGCCCAGATAAGGCCTAGCCTCGAGTATTGCTCACACATTTGGGGTGCTGCCGCCCCGACTACATTGTCCATGCACGATGCTGTCCAGAGGAGGGCGGTCCGACTGATCGATGACTCTTCCCTAACAGACAGTCTCGGGACTCTTTCGCACCGGCGGGCCGTCGGCGATCTAGCTCTTTTCTATCGCTACACCAACGGGCTTTGCTCCTCAGAGCTCTCTTCCATGATGCCGCCGCGCGATGTGCCTGCCAGACAGACCCGCCTGACTTCGGCGTCCAATCCTAACCGTGTCAAACTTCGTACATCCAGAACTGGCCGATACGACCGCTCCTTTGTCCCAAGGGTGTCTAGATTGTGGAACAATCTACGGGAGGAAGCTTTTCCCAGTTCTACTAACCTTAGGCAGTTCAAAAATCGTATTAACAAAATTTCTTTGGGATCATCATAGCAGCCGCGGTGTTCCGGCATTTAGGCTTCTGCCTGCGCGGCTGCTTCGATATAAAAAAAACGTGTACGAAGTGGAAATTGGTGAAAATTGTGTTCAAAGATTCCGTGACATATATACACGTCAAGCTAATAAAAACGTGTTAAAAATAAAAACGTGCTAATAAAAGCGTGTTAAAAATTAAAATTACCTGGAGTAAATAAGACAATAGCCTTCATACACCCGCATTCACTACCATCTGGGGAAATCTGTCGAAATCGGCACATTATTTCCTGAAACATGAATAAGGTTACTTTTAATAAGCAGCTTATCAACATCGGAACTTCGTAGTTTTACATAAAAATTTTTCAGAATCTTTCGATTTCTTATTTTTCATTTTTCAATAGTTTTTACGAATAAAAATCGACTTTTCTAACCTGGCGCAGTTAAGCCGCGTACAAACCGAAAATTGTAATGCGCTCGTCTACACCTAAATTTAGTTTCATTGGACGCAGCTTTAGAGACAAGGTTTGCCTTCTGATGTTCTCATTTTCGCTACTTTCACGTTGGAATCACCTTGTAGGACACACTAAACGTCTAGCTCATAATCTACTTACTGCTTTGGATTTAAGTATAGTTTATATTTATCATTGTTCGATTTGAATATTTTTTTAAAGTCAAGGAGGATAGTGCTAAAGGTTTGACCGATCCGAGAAATTCTGCAGTACCTGTATGGTCTTGATCTCAGCAGCAGTATGAAGATCCGTGGGCAGTCTGTCCCTGGCTTGCTGACAGGTGAGCAACGTCGCCAAATCCCACGGCACCGACCATTGCGCCAAGTGTAGCAAGAATAATTCCTTCCAAGATTCTTGGAGCAGAAGCAGCTGATCTCGTTTGCTGAGCGTCTGGAACGGCGCCAAACATCGCACCCAACGTACCGCCATGAACAGAAGTCTCGCCGTAGTTTCCTGAGAGAAAGATTAGTAGTGATTCTAAATCCTGACTTGGCAAAATCATAAATGAAACAAAATGTAAATGAAAATACTATCAGAGTTAGGATAAATGGTGCAATAATTGAAAATATTGAACCAATTAAATATTTGGCTCTATACACCTTTAAATATGCGCATATGTATACAATGTGTAACAAAAGTTTGGAACGCATCGAACATCTAACCAACGACTCATTTTTAAAAAAATTGGTAGGTTTAGGTTCAAAACCATGTCGATGTCGCCAAATCTACAGTTTTTCAGAAAGTTTTGTTTTTCTTATGGGATGCTATGCATTTAATTCATTCGATATTATTCTGCGAAAAATTCTGAATACTTTTTATTAAACATATTTTGACATAGACCTCATAGTTTTCGGAATATTCGCGGTCAAACATTAATATTGAAACAATGAAAACGTCTATCCTCTTGGTTTTAGTTAAATAAATCATATTTTTATCAACCCTACTAACAAAACTCAATGGCCTTTTCAGTTAGAAATGACAGGAAATTATTTTCGATACCGGTCATTGCTCTGGTTGTTATTTCGAAAAATACGAGATGTATGTCAAAGTATGTTTGATGAAAAGTACTCAGAATTTGCACATATCGAATAAAATGTATAGTAAAAGTTGCTATCAGTTTATGAAAAGTGTAGATTTGACAACATCGCGGATATCATCAACGGATCCGTCGTAGTTCCTAGCCTTAACCTACAAATTTCTGGAAAAATCAGACGAATCATCCGTCTGTATATTGATAGTAAACTAACGTTCAACTATCTCGTTCACTGCTAATGAAGCAGTATTCTCAAATACGAAATAAATCAACATAAAGCAGTCTCGACAAATAATATTATTTCCGGAAATAAAGACATGTATAGATGACTGGAACGACTGGGCGTGTCTAGCAGTGAAAAGGGGCTGACTTTCCACATCAGAGACAGCCAGTAGCTGAAAAGTCACCCTCTAAATGCTGCGGTGGTCGCGGCAAAAAGTCAATACGGCCTATGCTCCTCCCACGATTTTCACTCGTTCTCGTTGGCTTTTCGCCAAGTGCCCGCGTTAAAATCACGACGAAAAGACGCTATCGTGGAGATATCGTCGGTTACAGTGTTTGATTTCTCGCGAACTAGGATACAAAATGCATTTTTTGTGGTGTGGTTTGAAAAGGCTGTTAAATGACGTTCATAAAAGCAGTTAAAAAATCGGAATGGAGGTAAAATACAGAAATGTGTGAATGAGATGTATTTCTTATTCAACCAGCTACTACACTATTTAAAGTCTTATTTAGGATGGTTATAATTTCTTACTTGCAACATTTCCCAGGTAGGTGTCAAAGGTAAAGGTGCTAAGGGAGGACTCGTAGCTGACGGTAGGCCAGTCGTATTTGAAACGTAGCTTGATGAGCTTCCGTCACTTGCAGCTGATTCTGCTTGCGATAGCTTCGTGCCCCATACTAATTCCTGTAACGCGTCGTAAAGATGAAATTAACAAATCAGTGACCTAGAGGTGAAGGGTCGTTGACCGCAGACTTCGAGGTTCACTGGTCACGAGGCTAAATTTCATTTATCTCAAGGTCAAAGATCGCTGGTTTGAATATCGTTCATTGTCAATAACACGCTGAACTTTCAGGTTCAAGTCGGTTCATACGTTCTACTCTAGACCAGTCGTATCTATAGAATACTTTTCTGGCTTAGACATAGACTGAAATACGAAATCATTAGCTTTTTAGACTTACATCTACTTCTGCATTCGTGTTAAATGCGCTGAAAATGTGTACGTACACATTCACCATTTTTAACAAAAAAATTTAAAATATGGTGAATGTGTGCGTACACAGTCGCCATTGTCTCAGTTCGGTGATTGTACGAGCAGGATGTTGTCGTAGAACCTTTTTCATCTCGTGCCACAAAGTTTCAATAGGTGACAGATCTGGACTGCTAGAAACCCATTTCAAAAGTGGTACTATATTTTCTTCCATCCATTTTATAGCCTTTTTGAGGTATGGCACGTTGCACCATTCTTCTTAATGCTCTTCGGTCGACATTTGTGATATTACTTTTTTTTCACATATCGTGGCTTAATATTAACTGAACCAGTTACGTTATATCTTCTAACAATATTTCTCACACTGTACCGCGATAAGTCTAACAAAGGTGCAATCTCTGAGTTTGATTTCCCAGAATTAAAAAATTTAATTATTATATATATATATATATATATATGTATATACAATACATGTTCAGGATGGTGCTGTACTGCATTTTGTGTGAGCCAGCGTTTATTTTTTAAATTGTGCAATTCTACGAAGTGTGTTATAAATCTAGCTGATAGAAATTCTTTTCCCATTTCTCGATGCGAACATTTCGAAGAAAAGACGTTTATACCTATTAATCCATACTGCTTAGGTAAGCGATTATTACCTTTTAACAGGTTTTCTCGTTTGGTTTTTTACAATAAGCATGAACCTTTGACGAATACCAGATAAATATTGGTTAGAAAGTCATTAACAATTCAACAGCTGAATGTGCTCATATAAAATATGTACGCACATTCACCACAATTTATATTATGAATTATATTTGCACATTCACCACAATTTACATTATGAATTATGTTTGCACATTCACCAATTTCGATATAAAATAACTATGTACATTCACCATATTTTACAATCAACCGACCAATCTGGAATGCGTATACACTTTCACCAATTTTAAAAATAGTTATTACTCACCTGACACTTCTCAGCCGACATCAAAACATGCAGCAGCCCCGGCGGGGGTGCCGGAGGATGTGGCGGAGAGAACATCGGAGGCAGAGGGAGGCCGTTGTCCATCCTCGGTGGGCTTCCTCCCAACGAGGGAGGCGGAGGAGGTAGACCTAGAGCCTTCAAAGGGGGAGGTGCGAAAAGACCTCCGAAATGCGGGAACGGATGCGCTGGAGGTTGTCCTTGATGGTGCAGATGGTGATGGTGGTGAGACGCGAGCAATTTGGATTCGGAGGAGGTCGATGTTGAGGAGGGCTGCAGTTTCGGCTTCCTGGGGCCACGCTCGTGCTGGACAGCTGCAAAAGAATATAAAAATAAAGATGAAGAAAGCATTAGAGGATCGACAGGTGGCCATAAGCGGAATTTCGCGACCATGAATGAGAGGGGTCGCGTTTTAGAGCATTCGCGACATCATCGCGAATATTTGACGCGTGCGGAGATGAATCTGCATCTAGATTACTTCCATGGACGTTCGCGATGGTCTGGAAAATGCTAGAACGTATCTCGACTCGTCGCTAGGAGCGTAAATACCCGAACAGATGTCGGAAGCGGTCAGCCACAGTGGAGACAGCCAACGTCGCGGAAATATGATAACATGTCTAGTCGACACATTTACGAATTTGTTATAAATGAATTGCAAGTGTTATGAATTAGTGCTAAAGTAATAAATTAGTCTATGGACAATAAAAACGGTGTTTTTCTCACAATACAGATGCAACTGGACACGTTTAGTCACCATCAGACTTGCACCTTTTTCCAAAACTTGAGCAGTTTATTTGTGGAAAGCGCACATCTTCAAACAAGCAGCTACTAATCTAACGATCAAGCGACGGCCTCCTTTGATGACGGCATCTTAAAGTTGACAAACGTTTAAATGTTTATGCTAACTGTTACAAAGAAAAAAATGTGTTTATCTTAGTTCATAAATAAAGTTTCTCGGACTCCATTACAAATCGATTCTCACTTAAAAACTGACCCACGTAGACGTATCAATGCATCACCTACAATACCATTCCTCCCTGCGTACCGCATCAAATTCCGCCTGCCCCCCCTGTTTCCCGTTTGCTGTGTCGACTGCCTCCGGGTGACAGAATGACATGACACTATCGGATGAGGGGATTACCGGCGGCTTAGCGATGTGCCGGGCTGCAGGCTCGACATCATAGCGACACGACACGTTCTATGTTCACCATTCGGCCCCAGTAATCACGCATGATATCTCGCATCTGTGCATTCTCTCACCGTACGGGATTCGAATATGGATGCCGTTGCTATCACCCCCGAATTTGAATCATCCCCTTGTCCCCGCACCTCTACCGAAACCGTGAATTCTAGCATATTATGAAGGGTCATAAGGTCACATTTAAATAAGAACACACATTTCCATCTAAAACATCCGTGGCGCGTATAGACATAATTTCTGAATGAAGTTTTTTAAGAAACACGATATCCCGCACATTATTAAGCCAAGAAAGCTATAAGAAACGTAAGTCCCAA